CTCTCGCTTTCCACGCGGACCCTGACCACAGGTTCGAGGGAAATCCGGAGCTCGGGAGGGAAGGGTTCCCGCAAGACACACTTTTCTTGGTGATACCACTTTCATTTTTTTATCCCCTTTATTTTTTTATCCCACTTCTCTGTACACCCTCCGCCATCTTGGGGCCAAGAGGTTTGATTTGGGCAGCACGCGCGTTTGCAGTTTTGCGACTTGGGGAAACATGGGATCACGAAAGAACAAAGCCAAGCGAATATTTGGTTTCTTAGACATTGACGCGGGTCAAACCCAAACACAGGGCGCAACATCCTCTACCAGGATCTGAGAAGATATTCAGCCATATGACCATATCTGGTACTGAGGCGCCGAGAAAGAACGAAGCAAAAAAAAAGCCACAAAAACCAAAAAAAAATAATAATACCAAGTGATTTGTGTCGCCTCTCGTAAAGAGAGGCAAACAAGACCAAAACCAAGTTCTCCCACTTTTGCAACGTGATCGGCTCATGAGATGAGAGAGATGTGCTGGCACCATCCACGGCTGCTGCTTGGGAGAGGGGCGCTCTGTGGACGGACGGAGAGTGAGCGAGATGGGATGAACAGAGGGACGACAAAACGTCGCCCTCCCTGCTCTGCTCTGCCCCCCTGTCGACGACGTACGAATTATGTGTGACACGTGAGCGGGTTGGGATGCGTTCTCGTTGCTGTTTCTTTGCAAAAAAAGCTTCGCCTCCCCCCAGCGGATGGACCTGCGCCCGCCGCCGCCGTCCGCCCCAGCAACGAGCTGCCCTATCTGCCACGCACGCACGCACGCACGCACGTTCTTTGCGCGAGTCCGAACTGGGTGGAGGATCACCTCTTTTCGTTTTCTTCAATGTCGGAGGACAGGGGGTGTGGAGGCGGGGGGGCGTAGGGGAGGGTGACGATCGAGATATGCAGCAGGTAGGCGGGCGGGCAGGCAGGCAGACAGACATACAGGCAGACATACAGGCAGGCAGGCAAGCAGACAGACAGACAGACAGGCTCACAGGCAGGGCAAGTTGGATACATGAGTGGTCACGCGGGCTGGGTGCGGATCCCACTTCGAGGGCATTCCTTCGCATTCCACCAACGCACCTTTCCCGTCTTGGGTATATTCCCTCTTGGACATGGGCGCTCTCAAACTTCCCAAGCAGCAATCTCTCTTCCCTGCCACGAGATACGGCGGCACACACACACACACATACACACACATGGGCCAAGTCAGAAGCTACAAAAACACCCAGGCAAGGGCACGGCGGCAGCGGCGGGCGAAAGCAGGGACAGAGTAGCCCCCGGACCTGAGCCTGACTGGCATCATGACTAGACTAGACTGCCACTGCTGCCACATTACCTGTTTCTCTCCCCTCGGAGAGCGGGCGGTCTCCATGGATGATGGAGGGGAGTGAGGGGGAGGGGAAGGGGGGGGGATGGGAACCTCAGGGGCCCCAGGTCTCTCTCGCTCTCTGGGTGCATGCATAAGTCCCCGCGTCGTCGTTGGGGAAGTTTTCTGTATCGCGACGGGCTGATTGGCCGGCCGGCTGATGAATCCTCCCGCCTTACTTTTTGGAGCTCTGGCCAACCGGCAAGCCAGGAAGGGCCAGGGATTGTGGGGTGTGTGTGCGTGTGTGTGTGTGTGTGTGTGTATGTGTATGTGTATGTGGGTACCGCGACAGAAAAGCGGAGCCGGTTCTGGTTGGGCATGCAGCACAGCAGCAGCTTCCGCCTACTTCGCATGGCTGCAGCAGCCCACCACACCCGGCATCGCGGCCAGTCGTGGTGCTTCTGTCTGGCTGGGCAGGGCAGCAAAATTGGTGGTTGGGTGCCCTGGAGGGAGGAGGAGGAGGGGATAAGGGTGGGCCCCGCGCGAGCCGGGTCACGGACAAGAACTGGGAAGTGAGTTCCAGTCCTTCTCCCTCCCCATGTTGTCGTCAGCCCAGCTGTGGAGGAGGGAAAACCGCTCGCTTGTGTGCTAGTGTTCAGCTTCAGCACCCTGTCACCCGTTCGTTGGTGACTCCGCTTGGGTTGCTTTCCCCCTTTTTTTACTTTTTGTCCGCCTGGTCTGACCGGGCAGAGAAGTGCCGAGACTGACCTAGTTTGGGTAGCGATAAGTCAAAGAAACCGAGATCCCTCTCTTTGGGTCGGCAGGTTAGGTACCGGAGAATCACAGAGCAGAGACAGAGTCAGCACCCAATACGGCTGTGCCGTCGATAGCAGGTGGTTTATTAGGTGGGAATTTCTCACTGCCTGCATATTTTGATATTTCCTGATACATTTCCCGCGCCGGCACCTTTATTGGGTGTTGTATCACGCAACGTTGTGCACCTACTGCGTATCTATCTCACTGCAGGCTTGGCCCAGTGATGACGGTGACGACTTATGATGAAGGTGGTGACGGTGATCAATCTCTCTGCGCCCGTGCCACAGGAGCGCGGCGACCAACGAGGTGACAGGCAGGCCCCGGCCACCCGATTGGCGACGCGGCAAGGGAGGTGGGAGCTTGGGCCATGGCGGGAAACGAAACGAAATTTGCCAAACGAAACAGCAGACAAAATGATGGGAGAAAAAACCCCCAGAAAACACACGGCGCTATGCCCGATCGGTCCGGGCGCAGGGCATAGCGCGAAGCAGCCTGGTCGGCTGGCTGGACACACAGCATCAGAGGTTGGACGAAAGAGAAGGCACAAAAGGAGCAAAGGCGGTGTGGGGTTGCAGACTCCTCTCTCTTCCTTCCTTGGGCGAGGGCCCGTCTCGCCACTGCCGGCCACTCAGCAGCCGCTCGTGATTGCACAGCACAGGGCTACCGCAGCCAGCCTGCAGCCAGCCTGCAGCTCTCTCTCTCCTTCAGTTCCCACCCTGCAAGCCAAGAAGCAAGCCCATCATCACCGGCCACCGGCCAAGGGAGAAAACCCCTCAGGCGCACGCGAGTTTCTCCACTCACGGCTGCCCGATTGTGTTCCCCCTTGTCAACGCTTGCCCGACTGCGGACTAGCTCGCCCGTGGTCCAAAAAGGGAGTCATGATGCAAGGTGCGAGCGAAGGGGAAAATGCAACCCAAGCCAAGCAACAGGGACGTGTCACGTTCGTTCGGCGGCGGCGCCAGAAGAGAAGAGAAGGAGAAGGAGAGGAGTCTGCCGCCACGGTAACCTGGTTCGCCAGGTCGGCCCTGGAAAGGCAAACGAAGGAACCTGAGGGAAACCGCGGCGCCATCCCAGCTCCCCCTTCCCAACCCAACCTAGCCGCAGCCATCCCAAAGCCCTCGCAGGGGAGGGAGGGATCTGGTGGCAGTGGCCCTGGTGGTAGTGGCCCTGGTGGCAGTGGTCCTGCAGTGCAGGGAAACGCGACCCTCCAGCAGCATTCCTTCGTTCCCACCGCCGCCATCGTCGTCACGTCCCAAAATCCCCCCTCCACTCAGAGCACAGCGCTCCTCCTGCACCACGGGACCCTTGGCGGCCTACGCCCTGCCTCCAACCGAGGCTGGACGAAGCTGCAGATTCTGGCACAACGGCGCCATGGCGGTGAAGGTTGGGAAACCACGCAGCCTCGAGGCCCCGATTGGTCCGACGCGTCTGCGACCGTCCGAGGTCTGTGTGCTGCCACACGAGTCCTGGCCATGGGAGGATCCTGAGGCAAAGCAAAGAGCCCGTCTGCACATCCGACGACCTGCCCGCCAACGGCAAGCGCTTGCATGACGGAAAAGGGTTGGTGTGGACCAGCACCCCAGCATGTCAGATGCGAGAAGCCTGGCAACCTGGGTGAGTGCTTGGCCGTGCCGGCTGGTCAGCTTGGGTGCAGGAGTCTTACTGCCTGCCCCCGGCTGCAGGAATGTCTGTGGTCGGCGCTTCAATGTATAGAAACTGATAGGAGGACCGACTTACGAGGCAACAGCCAGCATCCCTTTCAAGACCTGCATGGCGGACGCCTGTTGTGCTGCTTCTTTACTCGACTCGGCCAACGACAGGCGTCAGAGGCATGCCCGGCTGAACAAAAATAAGCCCATATCAGACGACGGGCCACCAGTGAAACATGACGCCTGGACTGTGCCGCCGGGACAGGATGGCCCATACCCCCCATAAGCGCCTGGCAAACAAGATTTGCTCGTGGGAAGGAGAACGGACTGTTCAAGGGCCGTCGCTGTCTGGCACCATCCTTTCCCCAGATCATGAGCAGTGGGGTCGGCTCGGCTCATGGAAGCCTTGGTGGCCTTCTGGAGGATCAGCCTGGGAGGAAGCCTGATGTCGAGCCTCGAAGTCACGCACGGGCGTCGGGGCTCTGCGAGCGCCATCCTCGCCGGGAACAGATGGGTTGACTCTCCCGTCCGTTTGTTGAGACATGACACAACATCCGCGGCCTTGGGCCGATTTTCTGTGCCGACAGACTGCAGGCAGCCAACCGCCAAGGGTATGTGGTTTCTCAGTCTGTGCGAGACGCTGCTCGGAGCCCGTTCAAGTCAAAGTAAGCACGGACAAAGCCAAGGGCGGCCGCGGCCCCGTCGCAAACCAACCGACTGCTTACTACACCACCACCACCACCACCACCGCCGCCACCACGCCAGCACCTATTTTCTTCTCTTGGGCACTGCTCTCTGAATTCGCCACCAAACCTTCCTGCCGATGCGGAAAACACATTTGCGTTACCACACATGATGCTGGGCGACGGCTCTGACACGGTCCGGCTTGGGCGGCCGAGTGGTCTAGGCCCAAGGCCAAGCAAAGGCCCTGCCAGGAGGCGTGGAGGCGGCATGGAGGCGTAATGGCGGTGTAGCCGCATTTTGACAGCAAAAAGCAAACATGGCTAAACGCCCCTCGACCACCCAAGGCTCCTCTCCTAGTGGGCCCTCCACTTTCCCCCCCGCCGCCGGCACTACCTGAGTGACAGCATGTTGCGTTGCGCCAAGAGGAACAAGTGAAAGGGGCGCTAGGCGTCTGCCGGAAGGGTCCAGATCCGACCAGCCACCCGGCCGCCGTCCAAGTCCCGGAACACGTCTCCGTTGTGTGATCCGCATAAACACCGAGACTGGGCTGACCACCAGGCGAGGCGGTGGCCCCCCCGGTGGAGCCCGGCTGGCGGCGCATCGCATCCTTGTTGGGGCGCTGCGCATACGGGAGCCTGCCGAGGATACGCCGGGTCGGCTGCCAGATTCCGCGTCGAGAGTCCGGATCAAGCACGTTGCAGCACGCGGAGCAGCCATCGAGATGGAGTCATTCCACGCGGCATACCCTCTTGGTACATGCGAGCAGAGAGGCTTATGCCTGCTGTGTATATGTGCATATCCTTAATCGGAGGCGGTGACGGCGCATATACGGCGCCCGAGACAAGGCCACCTATACGAGCCGCAGGTTTGGAGCTGCCCACCTACCTGCCACCTACCTCGTCGTCTGATATGCGGCGGATCCTTTGACCCCGAGTTATTTCCTTGACAGATGATTGCGGGCGGGGACGGACCCTGCCTTGGCCTTCTTTTTACTTTGCCCGATTTCATCTTGACCTCGTTCAGGGCCCTCGTGCTTCTCCGACCTCGGTGGCTAGTACTACCGAATTAGCAACCAGGCGTCACCCTTGTCGAGCTGATCCGATCAGTTGGGCTTTCTAGAACGAGATGATGACGAATCCGGGATTTTGCTTTCGCTGCCAAACCATGTTTTGGGTGGACCGGCAGCTGGTCAGTCTACCTCTGTCTGGGTGGGACGCTTTCCAGATAGGGCTGGAACTCATCCGTCTCAAGTCTTGTCCTTTCTTCTCGTCGAGTTGAAGGTGAAGTCGGCCCGCTTGGAAATTGCACAGACGGCGTAGGGGAGCGAGAGGCTGGCGGAGCCACCACAAGAGAGCTGCTGGGGCTCGGCTCTTCCCAACGTCGTCCCGCAATTTGCTGCATGCGACTAGCGGAGGACTGACTGCGACCGCCACAGGCCGGCCCACGCCCCCCCCGGAGCTGGCCCTCCTGTTGGGCCAACGACAAGGCGGGCGCCCACAAGGCCAGGCTGCGTGGGCGGATCCGATTCGCTGCTGGCATCAGGGCTGGAAGCTGCAAGGCGCGGCGCGGACTTGCTTGTCGCTGGTGTGATGGTGATGTGCGAGCTGCCGCCAGGCCCTACGAATCACACCCGCCGGCTCCCACAGACGGCCACGAACACGTGCGTGTGCTACTGTGGACGACGGCGTCTCTGGGGGATCCTGTTGCTCCACACTTTCTTCGGCGCTTTTCTTCCTCTTGTCATGTTTCGTGGCGTGCCGCGCTCGGTGCTTGGTGGCTTGCTTGGACAGCCGTGGAAAATGAGGCCACTTTTTTTCCCGCCGAAGTTGAGGCGAGGTATAATGTATGTCTGTGCGCTACAGCCTGTGGCCCACGCGCAAAGCAGACGGTCGCGGCGCCGGCGGCGTGGTTCGCGCGATTCGTGGGGTTGCCAGTGCCAGGGGCTGAGCCGGGCGGCCTTTGGGCTGGGACTCCGAAGGGCCGACTGCCCCAACCTTGTGCCCGCCGATGCTTTGGCAGTCTTTGGTCTACATTGACTCTGGCGCCTGTTTGTTTTTAAGGTTTTGCCCGCTGCAAAATGGCATCTGACCATACCCCTCAGAGGGAGTTAGGGAGGGAGCCCTGATGGCAAGCCTCCCTAGCCCGGGTCTTCTCCCACTTCCCCGAAGGGGATCGGCCGGGCGGGATATGCTCCAGGTCTGGGGAAAGAGAAAAGGGGGGAGTTGAGTCAGTGTGGTGACACCGGGTTATCCCGCCTTTGGCTGTCTTGGCGGTAGGCGACGGCGTGTTACGTACAGCCCGGCGCGGCCATCTAAACTGTCTTCTCAGCATATCCATGTCCTTCTTGGCGCAGGTTCCTGTCTCTGTTTCTTTTCTTGGGACGGAAGCAGCCTCCTTGGCATTAGAGCGGCCTCTTTTTGAAAACGAGCGCACTGACTTTTGGGATAACCGCATCTGGGCAAAAGTATGCTGCATGGTTGGATAAATAGCGGATAGTCAGCGGGTTGCTAACGTGTATGAGGGAAACCAACGACACAAGACGTCCGTGGGCACTCGAGCCGGCGCGCTCCTTTGGCCTCGCGGGGAGGCGGGGAGTGCACGTCCAAAGGTAGAAGAGCTGGAGACAAACGGTACTGCCACGTCCTGAGCTTGTCTCGATAGCGTGTGGCGAAACGTGAACTGTTCGTTCCTTTTCCATAGCGCGTTCGGTTTCTCTATCCCTCTCATTGTCTCTTAAACTCTGTGCCGAGGCACGCACGTCCATGTGTCATGCTAGATCCGACCTGACTCCCTCCCCTGTTTACGAACTGCCGTAAACCCAAGGCTACATGGCCAGTATATTCTGTGACAAAGCAGAGCAGGCTTGGTCCGTGGGGGGAGAGAAAGGGGGAGGTGATTACGAAAGAAAGGTGGGACAGAAGGAACGCGAATCGGGTGATGGGACGGGGGGTCCGATCTCCCCGAGGCGGACCTCTCGCGATTCGCTAGGCGGAAGGAGAGGTAAAATAGAGGCGAGGCTGGGCCTTGCCTTGACGCTTGGCTTTCCAGTAGTCTCCCCCCTGCCTCCGCTGAACGAGGACGGCCGGACTAGTTCGCCAGGCCCGGAGACAGGGAACCCCCTCTCTCACCCCGGTGGCACGTCCTAGCGACTGGCTGGGGGCTTTTGCAATACGAACTACCGGGTTCGGCTCCGACTAATGCGCCTGCTTCTCTCTATCTTGTCTCTTGTTGATGATGGTTCCTAGTTTATGCTACCTAGCTAGTGGAATTAGACGGACGGAGCCAAGAGACAAGGGGTGGGCGGGCGAGGGATATGGTATGGTTTATGTTTTTTCTTAGCTCGTCCGACCAGCCTCGCGTTTCCCACCCTCTTACAAATCAGGCGGGCAAGGTCACGTTGGCCTGCCATAAACCTCGGACGGGGCGAAATTTGCGGAACAAAACGTCGGGAAGCGAGACATGCCCAAAAGGCTATGCGGGACTTGGCAGCTGTTTGTCTAGTGTGAGTTTGTGTCCATGACCAACCGCGAGCCAATCTGCTAGCAGGTTGGCCCTTTTTCTCCTGCTCTCGGCACTCTCCATCATGTGGACAATGTGGCTAGAAGAACGGGAATAACCCGGTTTCCACGCGCGGGCAGCGGCTTGGCAACGCGCAGATCCGCGGACTCGCAAGCTTATTATTCATCCCATCGGCTAGATTAGCCTTTTGGGGGGAGGGGGGGGAGTTGGCGTAGCGGCTACCACCAGCCCCCCCGGCGTGTCTCCAGCCAAAGACGAGCTCTCGTCGGGCTAACCCTGGGCTAGGATAGATGCACTGTATGAATAAGAGGAGGCTGGGTTGACAGGCTTGTTCGTCGATCGAGCTTTCGATGGGCGCGTGCGAGGTTGCCGGGGATGCTGGGGGAACTGCTAGGCGGGGGACATGGGGGAGATGACGCGGGGTTATCCGTCCGTCGGGGTCCGCGGGCTTGGGCTACTGACTACACGGGGGGCCCGGCCCGGAGACTCGGGGCTCGGGGTCCGGGGCCGGTCAACAGGCCCGACGTCACGATTCGGACTGGGAAGGTAATATCACAAGTCAATCAAGCCTTTTGGGTAAATCGCTATAGGAAAAAGAAAGGAAATGTAGTGGTTCACATATGTGGGCTCCATCCACGTTGCTCCCTGTCTGCCCGAGCCCTTGTCACCATCATCAACACCGTCATCACACCTCTCAGCTCCCCCCCATCCCATCTCCCCATCTCCCCATCTCCCTCACACCTTGCCCGGCTTCAGCGGCGCGCCCGACGTCACGGGGTCCGGCTTGATGGGCCCGCCCGGGGTGGTCGGGTCCGGGAGGATGGGCCCCGTCTGGATGCCGCAGACGCCCTGGATGAGCTGGGCCCAGATGCGGGCGCGCTCCCAGGGCGGGAACGACAGCAGGAACTCCTGCAGCTCCTTGGCGTACTTTTCCAGGTCGATCAGGCAGGGGCTGCTGCCCGACTTGCCGCCGCCGTCCCTCTTGATCGCCATCCTCCCCGGCAGCAGCACCGTCGAGCCGCCGCCCGACGGCGGGACAATCTTGATGACGCCCGACGTCTTCTCGATAAAGTACTGCAGCGCCTCGATGCGCTTCTTGTCGGCGCGCGTCGGGTTCTTCTTGGCCTGCAGCGCCTGCAGCTCCAGCTGCGCCTGCTTGATGGCCGCCTTGAGGTCGGCGTTCTTGTCGCCGCCGAGGTTGATGTCGTCGCGTCGGGACTTGGTGGTCGCCGACGGCGTGATGACGGGGCCCAGGATGACGCAGTAGCCCGTCTGGTCCCAGATCTGCTTGTTGCAGTCGTCGCCCGGCTGCGACGGCTTCATGCCGCCCGAGCCCGGCTCGCCGATCTTGATGATGCCGCCCTTTTGCCGCGACTCGATCGGCTGCTCTGTCGTCGGTGCCGCGAGGGCGAGGCCGAACAGGGCGAGCGAGAGGGCGGTGCCGCGCATGTTGGGGGTGGTGGCCGTTTGGCTTCTCGGGCTGAGTGTGTTTGTTCGTGTGTATGGAGGGGGTGTGTGATGGAAGGGGGAGGTGAGGGTTGCGAGTTTGCTTTATAGGCAGGACCCGATATCTTGAACAGGGCGAGAGGGCAGGTCGACTTCTTGCCGTCGGTGACGTCCCATGGGGATATTTATAGATAAAAAAGAACTATACGGCCCAGAGTAGTTCATATACAAAAAACTCGTGATAACCCGCCCATCGCCTTTCGGGCAGGTCTCAGCTGCTCGCTTCGCTCCATCTTTCGCCGCGGCCGATGCCACCCGTCGTCGAATCGTGATGATTTGCCCTCCCCGCTCGCCGATATTGACTGTCCCAAAGAAGGACCTCCTCCAGGGTGTGTGTGTGTGTGTGTGTGTGTGTGTGTGTGGCGTGCGTTGGGCGGATAACACGGACAATGACGCCGCGAATGGGAAGGCCGCAGCAAAGCAAGAACGCAGGCCGGCGGAGATGGCGTCGTTGCACTCCCCCGTTTTTGCAAGGCGCGAGATAGAGCCTAGCTTCTGTGCCCAGGTCCGCCTGCGCGTCGAGGGTCGGGCCAGGCTCATTTGGTAATTAATATCGAGATAGATGAGGGGGCCTGAAAGCGATCCGGAAGCACAGAATCTCTGGGAGCGAGGTCGCGGGCACTTTATCCGGACCGGCCAGTTGCTGTGCAAGGGACACGGTAAGCTGGCATGTCTCTCTCTTTTCGGGAGCATTTGAATGTCGATGCTACCGGGCGAATCCTCAAGCAAGAGAGAGGAACGGCTGGCCAAGGGCTGTGATAGACTAGCAAGCCTCAGCTAATATTTTTCCCCTCTCAAAATAGCAAAGGAAGGGGCACCTCCAGGCCGTTATCGCCGCGCCTCTCTCGGGATTGAGCACATGAGGGTTCGGCGCATGCCGCCGCCAAACCGACGTTGCATTCCGTCAACATTACCCTGCCCTAGCGCGCAGGGGGGGGGCCCTGTCGGTCGACAAAACAGGAGACAGAGGTATGTATGCCTTTTCGGAGAACTCCACCTCGACGGGAGACGTGAGCCCGAGACCAAGGTCCAGGAGCGGCCTGGGGGTGGCTCGTCACGTCGTGATAGCCTAATTCTTCCTAGAACCAAACACGGGCTTCGACCACAAAACGCCGTCGCCCGGGTTCCTATTTTTAAAACTCGACAATGGCGGTCGTATGGGATCGGGCCTGCCGGCATTGCAGCGAGGGGGGGGGACCAGTCTTTTGATATAAACTAAATATGCGTCTAGGCCGTTTGGGCTCGCGGAGCCGGCTGGGAACTGGTGTCCTGCATCAGGGGTTCCGCGCCGACTATGCGGCCGAGCAGGCCATGGGGGAGGGAGGAAGGGCACATTTTTCCGTACTTTTGGCCAGCTGGCGCCAACGAGATTGGCATGCCTCGAGTTTTCTGCAGGCAAATATGACATCGCCCTCGGCAAGGAAACCGCAGCGGCCAAGGAAGCCGAAAGATGCCATGCGTGCCCAGGTGAGCACCACCCCTCAAAGCCGCCACACGGTAAAGTCAACCGGTCCGTAGCCGCTGCTTTTCGGTGGTGAGAGAGGGTGGCGATGGGCGGGAGGGGAAGCGGCCGGCGGAGCTCGAGCTGCAATAGTAGCAATACAGATAAATAAGAGATCGCCGCCGCGGGCAGACAGGCCTCGCGAGCACGTCTGGACGGCGGGACATCACGGGGGTTCGCGGTCTTGGCTCTCTTTCCAAGAATAGCAACCGACCAGAACCAGAAATCGGTTCCTGTCGGCTCTGGGACCTTGTTTTGAGATATATTAGTTGACTTGCCCCAGACGGGCCTGGAGCCATGGGTCGCGAGATCCTAGCTCGGGCCTGGACGCTTCTCTCTCTGCGCGCGTCTGCAGAATCCCCCTGACCGTGGAGTGCTGGGGATAGGAGAGCTGAAAGGCCGCTCTCAACACGGGCCATGTTACCTCGCTGTATAGCCTGTCGATATTAGCCAGTACGTCTTGGCGTGCCGCCGCCCTGAATAGAAACACGAACAAGGGCTTGGGATGGATGGACCTATCAAAAGGCTACATGGGACCTTTGTCGCCGCCCATCTCCGTCTCAGCCGGTGCCTTGATCCGGTGGGGCATCGGCGTGCTGTATTGGGGCAAGGAAACGCAGTTGTTTGTTGCCGAGTCGCGAGTTTGAAGGGCGTTGCTCGAGTCTGGACGGGGGATTGTAGGCATGGATACAACGTTCCACTTGCTTTCTGGCAGAGACGGAGCCGATTGTCCAGGGACACCGGTAGCGAAAGATGCCTCTCTCGTATGCAAAGAACGGGGAGAGCAGGGGAGAACAGCAGAGACAAAGCAGTGTCGTGAGGCCATGCAACCTCCTGACGTCACCTGGCATACCCAGGTGGTCTCGTGGCTGGAAAGGGGTCATTGGCAGAAGCAAGGGACTCGAGCTCAGACGCATGCGCCGCACATGAGGCTGCTGTCAGCCTGTACTAGATCAGTAGATGGATGCAAAGTCAGATAGCAACGAGAGTATCATGTTGAAAGGGTATCTATATATCCATTCGCGGAGGGTAAAGAATGAAAAAGCCAAAGCGGGAAAACGATACTTTCTCGAGACCAACCAGTCCCTTGAACAAACCTCCCCTCAGCTGTGAAACAAAAGCTTAGCGTCACAGCACAAATCACTTGGCCTTGATCCTCCGAATCACAACCCGCTGCCCGTCACGCTCCCACCCGACGGCGTCGAGCCGCTGCAGGTCGGCCCAGGCCCTGCCGCCGGCGCAGCGCTCCAGAAAGGGGCACTCGACGGCCAGGTACGAGCGGCCCAGGCAGAGCAGGGCGTGGCGGCGCATGACCGGCTCGGCAAACTCCATGAGGCGGGCCTTGTGGCCGTCGACCTGGCCGCGCAGGCGCCAGAAGGCGGCGTAGTTGTCGTGCGCGAGCGCCGCGAGCACCGCGTCGACGCGCCCGTCGCGCAGGCCGTAGCGCAGCCGCGACGCGTGCGCCTCGGCCAGGTCGCCGCGCCGGCACGCCGCGTCCAGCACCAGGTAGCCCGCCACCTCCTGCAGCTCGACTGTCGTGAGCGGCTGATGGCGGTGGTGGTCGGGGGTGGTTGGGGAGAGCTGTTGTTGTTGCTGTTGTTGTTGCTGTTGTTGTTGCTGTTGTTGTTGTTGTTGTTGTTGTTGCTGTTGCGCCGACTGCTGCGCCGACTGCTGTTGCTGCTGCTGCTGCTGGGACCGGGTGTTGATGTGCCGCAGCAGGTGCTGGATGGCCGGGTGGTACGACTCGGGCTGCTTGACCAGGACGGCGAGGCGGATGCAGAACAGATAGGTCTGCACCGCAAAGTCGTCGGCGCGCTTCGAGGCCACGATGGCCTCGCGCAGCTTGCGGAGCGCCATCATGATGACCGTCAGGTCCTTGGACTTGGCCCCGCCGCCCGTGCTGCCGCCATCAGCCGTGGCGGCGGCAATGGTGGCCTTTGTGGGCTGGGGCAGGCTGTAGATGCCGCTTCCCACCGCTGCCGTCCCTGGAGCAGTCCCTGGAGCCGCCGAGGGCCCGACGCTGAGGGCGGCAAACTGGGCCAGCAGCGAGTCCCGGCCCCCGGCGTCGGAGCAAAAGGCGAGGTACCTCTTGACGATCTCGGTGTAGTACTGGTTCTGCGTCTTGAATTCGAGCAGCCTGCAGCAGGGGCGGTTCAGCAGGAGCGCGGCAGCAGAACCGCTTCGTCATTCTTTTACCTGGTTTCGCCCTTGGACGGCAGCCCCATGGCCTCCAGGGGGTCGAGCTCGACGGGCTTCAGGCGGCCCCATGCCGACGATGGGCCGCGACCGGAGGGGGGCATGGTATATTGAGGCCAGGGCTCAAGCAGCCATGGCTGTTTTGTACAAGGGCCGGGCCGTTTGAGCTCGTTGCTTGTGTTGCCGTCGCACTCAATGCCCCTCCTGCTCTAACCGTGCTGCTCCAGTCTCCAGTGGGGCCCAGCTGCCGACAGGCCCTCTCCAGCGGGTCAGCCCTGCAATGAATGGCTGGCGCAATGCTGCTCCAGTGGCAATCTTATCAACACGTGGCGGCTGGAATCAGCCCGGCCAGCGTCAAACTCGTTTTCACCAGCACTCAATGACAGACAAATTGGCAACAGCAACATAGCAGTCGCCGCCTTGACAAACATAGATGGAATTACTGGGTATTATTGAGACCGCCTTCCCTAACCTCACCACCCAATGCCCGACCGGACCGAGCAAATGCGCCAGCCCATCCTCGGCCTATACCCTCGCCCACAGCGAAAACACACCCTTGGCGTACTCGACAATCTCCTCCCCGCCCAGCTTGGAGTCGCCGTAGACACGGTCCACAAACGTGATGGGCACCTCGGCGATGGTGAAGCCGACGGCCTTGGCCGTGACGGCGAGCGCCATCTGCATGCTGAAGCCGCGCACGTCGGTAGTCTCGAACAGCTTCTCGAGCACTGCGCGCTTGTAGAGCCGGAACGAGCCCGTCAGGTCGCTGACCCCCGGCCGCAGCAACGTGTCGGCCAGGATGTTGGCGCCCTTGGACGTCATGCGCCGCTTCAGGTCCCAGCCGTGCACGCCGCCGCCCGGCGCGTACCGCGTGCCCGTCACGATGTCGTAGTCGGCCGTCTTTTGCCTGGCGATCATTTGCGGGATGAACTTGGGGTGGTGGGAGAAGTCGGCTGTGGGAAGCAGAGTCAGTATGGGCTGTGGGGAGAAAAAGGGGGAGAAAAAAGGGGAAAAGAAAGAGGAAAAGAAAGGGGGCTCCTCTTACCGTCCATGATGATGATAAAGTTGCCCTTGGCAAACTGCAGGCCGTGGACGTAGGCAGTTCCCAGACCAAGCTTTCCAGTGCGGGGATGCAGCTGGACGTGCGGCTCGAAAGCCTTGATGAGCTGCTTGGCGACATCTTGCGTTCCGTCGGGCGAGCCGTCGTCGACGATGATGAGCTCCCAGTCGAGGTTTCTGCGAATGCGCAATTTTCCCCATGTCAGAACCCCCCACGCGCACATGTTGCCTCTTGCGATTCACCCCGGAAAGAACCTACTGCTCGGTAAAGGTCTTGTTAAGCAGCCAGGTGATGATGGGCAGGTTCTGGCGCTCGTTGAAGGTGGGTAGGATGACCGAGTAGACGTCCTTGGACGATGTCTTCTTGGTGGGCGCCATGCTGGTCGTTTCGGCGATTGGCGTGAGCGCTGCTCGAGAGGGCGTTTTAAGGAGAGTAGCGAACGAGTCGCGCCGCGGGGTTGAGGACAAAAAGGAGCGTCAAGAAGGCGAACGGGGTGGTTTGGTCGAGTGGGAGGTTTCCAGCTGAGGGTGACGTTGCTTTTCGCGTCTTCCGAGCCCAGCTGTCCCACGCGCCAGCAATTCAGGGGTCGGCCGCTAGCTGGTGGAGGCCGTGGGGCCAGTGCGATGGGTGGTTCGAGATTACCTAATCACACAACGTAGACATCACCTACACCGAGGAGACCACCCCTAATTAGTCAAAGACAGGAGGAAACGGGGGGACATTTCGTCAATAATGATGCGTTATCTCCAACAACAGAGACAATATAAAATTCAGGCCATGAGCTTGATGATCCTCTTATAGGGTATGCTGATAAATACAACCATCATCCGACGCCGCTAGAACAATGCGGCTCTTCCATATCTGCCAACTCGATACACAACTTGGCGATTTCTCCTCACAGGTCCAATAAGAGCAGGACTACACAGGCAAGAGGTATATGCAACAAAACAGTGAAAATGAAAATCAGAACGCAAGCCAAAGTCTATGCGGGCGGGGGTCAACAGCAGACTGTGCCCTCGCATAGGCCGATATCATGTTTTTGTTTTGCACAGAAAGACGGAGAAAATACGACAGCTAAAACCTGCGAGATGGTCTTGCCGATATTTGTTCCAGCAACCCCGCCCTCCGGTCCCCTTCCCTTGCCCCGTCCTCCAATCGGTCCTCGACACCAGTCATCATTCATGTTATCATATCAAATGACAGAGGCGAAGCGAAAGGGTTGAGGGAGAGAAAAGCGACCAGAAAGGCAGGTTGGCACATGTCGTCCGCCATTATGAAAATCGAACAACGCAAATCAAAACTCGAAGCAGTCCCAAACAACTTTTTTTTTTTCCTGCAACCCTTCAGTTGTCACGGTTCTTCTCCTGGGTCCGGGTCCGGCTCCTGCTGCGCAGGCTCGACTTACTCCAGCTCTTGAAGCTGGAGAAGGACATGGTCTTGACAAAGGAGCGGCCCTCGGGGTCCTCGCTGCCCTGAGAGAAGGGCCCGCGCACGACGGCGTGGTCGTCGAGCAGGTTGAACTTGCGCTTGATGAACTTCCAGGCCTCGACGCCGACGATGAAGACGAAGAGGCCGCCAAAGGCGAGGCCGTACTCCCAGCCGATGGCCTTGTGGCGGAACACGTTCTCGTTGACGACGGGGATGTGGATGGCGCCGAAGACGGAGATGAAGGCCAGGATGACGGACCAGAACAGGAAGCGGTTCTCGTACACGTCCTTGAAGAAGGGGAACTTGCTGTCCGAGTCCGGGTTCAGTCGGAACATGGACCGGCGCAGCGACTTGAACTCCCAGGCCGAGAAGAGGATGAGCCAGGTGAGCTCGGCGAAGACGGCGGCGCGGGCGCGGAAGACGACGTCGCACCGCGGCGAGTAGGCCGTGTTGCAGTTGTCGCCCAGCTCGCCGTTGTTGACTCCATAGACGATAATGACAAAGGTCATGAGCGTGCACACACCCATGATGAAGCCGTACACGAGCATGTCGACGATGATCTGGTTGGTAAAGACTCCGCGCTTGGTAGAGTGCGGCGGCTTGCGCATGATCTCGTTCGACGCCTTCTCGCGGCCGAGACCAAAGGCAGGGAAGGACGACGTGAGCATGTTGATCCACAGGATCTGCAGCGGGCTGATGGGGAAGACGGACGTGCCCGACTCGTCCTGGAAGCCGAGGCCGGCGATCAGGAGGATGACCTCGCCGACGTTGGAGGTCAGCAGGTGCAGCACAAACTTCTGGATGTTCTCAAACATGCGCCGGCCCTCGCGGATGGCGGCCACGATGGAGTTGAACTTGTCGTCGGTCAGCACGATCTTGGACGCCGACTTGGCCACGTCGGACCCGGAGCCCATGGCGATGCCGACGTCGGCGTTGCTCAGCGAGGGCGCGTCGTTGACGCCGTCGCCCGTCATGGCCATGAAGGCGCTGCGGCGGCGGAGCGCCTCGATCATGCGCGTCTTGGTGTCGGGGGCGCAGCGAGCGATGACGAGCGGCAGCTCCTCCATGGCGTCGATCTCCTCGTCGGTGAGCTTGTCAAAGTCGGTGGCCTTTTGCACGCACGTCTCGGCGATGTGGGCGGGCAGGACAGACATGTTGAAGGGCAGGATGCCGACCTCCTTGGCGATGGCCGCGGCGGTGGCGGGGTGGTCTCCGGTAAGCATGTGCACGCGGATGCCGGCGTTGGAGCACTCGCGGATGGCGGGCGTGGTCTCCTTGCGCGGGGGGTCATAGATGCCGACCAGGCCGAGGAGGGTCAGGCCCGACTCGACGCTGCTGCGGATGGCGTCGTCGCTCTTGGTCGGGTCGGCCGCCTCGGCCGCCTTGTCGGGCTGCGTGTGGATGCCGTCCCAGGAGCGGTACGCGATGGCGAGCACGCGCTGGCCCTGCGAGGCGAAGTCGTCCATCTGCTCCAGGATCCGGTCCTTGGCCTCGTCCGTCATCTCCTCGCGCGCCTCGCCCTGGCCCATGTGCGTGCAGAGGTCGATGACGCGCTCGACGGCGCCCTTGGTGAAGATGAGGCTGTTGTCGGTGGGGAGGCCCAGGTCGTTGTCCTCGGGCGCGTTGTATACCACGCTCATGCGCTTGATGGTGCTGTCGAAGGGGAACTCGGATACCTGCTTCCAGCCCTTGGCCTCGAGCGACTTCTTGCCGCGCTCGAAGCGCCAGGCGAAGATCTGCAGAGCGATCTCGGTGGGCTCGCCCGTGGTCATCCACTTGTCCTTCTCCTGGTCCTTGCGGACGGTGGCCAGGTTGCAGAGAGCGGTGGACAGTAGGAACATGCGCAGCTCGTCGTTGAGCTCGGCCGCGGGCTCGTTGGCCTTCTTGGGCTTCTCGGTCGGGTTCAGCTTCTCGTCGGGGACGTCAAATGTGAGGGCGCCGGCGCTGCGCTCGGCGTCGTAGTCGCGCTTGGGCTCCTCGACGCCGGGCGCCTTCTCCGAGTACGTGACGGACCCAACGGTGGGGTCGCTGGGATCCATGGAGTCGCGGACCGTGTAGATCTTGGATGCCGGCAGCCAGACCTTCTTGACAATCATGGCGCCCTGGGTCAGGGTGCCCGTCTTGTCGGAGCAGATGTTGGTGACTCCTCCCAGAGCCTCGAGGGCCGAGAGATCACGGACGACGACGTTGGCCTTGCGCATGACCCGAGTGGCCTGCACCATGGTGATGGTGAGCACGGCCACAAGGGACTCGGGGATGATGGCTATACCAGTCGAGATGGCGTAAATGAGCACATCGTGGGGGACATGGAAGCGGTTGACGCCGAACACGATGATAGCGAGGATCAGGGCGCAACCGAACAGGATGTACGCAAGGGCAGCCAGCTTCTTCTGGAGGGGCGTGCCCTCGGTGAGACCCAGGAACTTGCCGAGGAAGTCGTAGATGCGCCTCAGGGCTCCGATAAGGGGCTGGCGCTTGCCGTACTTCCTCCAGTTCATGGAGCGGCCGGCCTTGGGCTTCTTCTTGGTCGAGGCGGCGATCTTGCCGACCTCGGTCTGCATGCCCGTCTCGATGACGATGCCACGGCCTCTGCCCTTCCGGACGATGGTGGTGGCGTAGGCGATGTTGACACGGTCGCCAATGCCGACCTCGCCGTCGGCCGTGGCCATATTGTCGGATCCGGGGACCTTGATGTTGTTCTCGATGATCTTATCCACGGGCATGGACTCGCCGGTAAGGGACTGCTCGTCACACGAAAGGTTCATGACCTCGAAGAGACGGAGGTCCGCGGGAACAGTATCACCCATTTTCAGAATGACAATGTCACCAGGGACGACCTCGGCGCTGCAAAGACTCTGTTAGCAGCTGCTCATGCCAAGCTACTTCACCGACAAGTCTGTGGGAATACGCACTTGGGAATAACCTGGGTCTTTCCATCGCGGAGAATGGTGGCACTGGGAGAGGAGAGGGCGCGCAGGGCGTCCATCTTCTTCTCGGCGCGGTACTCCTGGACGAAGCCAATCGAGACGTTGAGAACAATGACGGCGGCCAAAACGCCGCCCTCAATCCAGTCCTTGATACCAAATGACAGAGCCATGGCAAAGAACAGGACCTGGAGGAAGTCGGTCAGTCCACAGGTCTCCCAAGTTCACAGCGGCAGAGAGAGGTTCACATACCAGGACCATGGCGTTGAACAGCTGCTTCAGGAAGATGCTGTACCACGGGATGGCGCCGCCCGCGTCCAGCTCATTGGGAGGAAACTCCTGCTGCAGCTTCTGGACCTGGGCGGTAGTCAGGCCGGAGTCGACATTGGTGCCAAGTGAGTTGGCAACCTCGTCGACCCCAAGGAGGAAGGGGTGTTTCTCGTAATTAGTCGGCATGGTTGCGATGCATCACTGACAGCCCTAGGAGGTTGGCAGGAAAATGGAGACAACAAAGGGGGGTATCAAGAAGCGACCGAGAACAAGCAATCTCAAGGTCGGGGCAGAGGAGTCGGTTGTCTTCCGAGCGCAGCTGTTCTTGAGGCTGGCCGGCGTCGGGGATGGCAAGATACCGTTTACTTGCGCGTCCGAGACGTCCTTGCTTCTTTTCTTTTCCCCGTCAGATGTGATCTTGTCCCGTAGAGACTAGGACTAAGACCCAATGGCTAGAGAAAGAAAGATTATGCAAGCGGAGGGTCCCGAAAGAGGCTCGCTCGTCGGGTGTGGTTGACAAAAAAAGGTCTCGAACAATGACGCAGCTCTAGCAGGAAGACGGGCTCTCCAGCCTTTATAAAAGCGCCCGACCCGATAAGAAAAAAAAACAAAAGAAAAAAATCTGACCCACGCTCCGCCGCCGAGACCAGCTATCCATTGCGTGCGCCGCAAAGCGGAACATTGTTGGTACGCCAAGAGACGCGAAGTCTTGGACTTCTCGCGCCTGCAGAGGGCTAACATGGTCTTGGAGGACGTTGTCGGTTGCAAGAGATACGTGTGATTGGGCACATTCCGTCATACTGCCACACTTGAGGCTCCATCAGTCCCACTCGGCATCCCTGTCCGGCGGTCCCCTAGGCTCTTGGCCAAAAGGCCAGAAGGGAAGAAAAAAATCCCCAGACGAGGACGACCTCCAAGAGCCGTGTAGCCGAGCGCTCGCTGCCTTCTTGACTCCGCGTGCTTCCGCGTGCTTCTGGGGAGGCGCGTCTCGACTAGGGGCCGTGGCGGTCGCAGGTTGCGGTTGTGGTTGCGGTTGTCGCCGCCCTTGGCCCAGCCCGGAGATCTTCTCTTGTCTTTGTTATCGTTTTGGAGGGATGATGCTTATCCTCGCATTGGGCAGCCTCAACAGTTTGTGTGGGGGGCGCGGCACGCGCTACGGGTATCTTCCAGACGTGGTTCGACATATTATCTCCTTTTTTTCCGTCTTGTGTTTTTCCACCGGCGAATGGCCCGCCGGTCAACATGGATAGCTGCAGATGCGCAGCAGCACCGGTCTGCCGAAGCTAGGCTCGACTCGAGCATCAAAACCGACAGCCTAGGGGTACGTCAGATCATGTGGTCACTCAGCATTTCCGAGGAGAGGCAGAGAGATCCCTGATAATGCTTGGCGGTGGCACGTGGCCCTTTTGTTTTCGCCTCCCCGGTCTTTCCGTTTGCTTTCTTCGTTTGTCAGCCACACCTTAAAGGGATGAAGAGGAGAAGAAATTCAGGCTGGCATGGCCGGGTTCATCAAGCGTTCGTCAAGTCAAGGCCAGGGCTAGGCTGACTGGCCCGTGCCGTTGTTCGCGTACGTGCATGACTCCTGCTTTTGTTTGCTCACCAGCCGTCTCCACCCTCCGAGCCCAGGGCCCCGGGTGCCACCACTGCCCACAGAGCGGACCCTGGCCATGGCGGAGCATCGACCTGACCACCGTGCTAGCAAACGGCAGACGTCACCTTCCCGCATGAAAGAAGAGAAGAAAAGGATTCGCTCCGGTTGGACCACCCGCCCGTCCGCCAGACCGCTATTGGCCCATTCGACACCCGACACTGTAACACTCTATTAAGATTCTGCTATGCTAGGCCTGCAGAGGCAAAAACGTGCAGCCATGACCGATGTTTCTCGACGAGAGAAGGAAGCAAGCCTGCCACGGTGCCCGGAAAAAAAACCGGACTGCAAAATTTATTCCCTACTACCACAAAAAAAGGAGCCCATTTAGTTTGCAGTCATTTTGCCCCCCGCATTTATGTTTAGCAAAACAAATAACGTTATTGTGGCCATAAGTAGTGCCCCCCGCATCAAAATAATTACAAATCCCCCGAGCGCGTATTCTTTCCGGTGTAAAATGGCGCGCGGCCATATTGTTCGGTTTTGGTGCTGATGCAATTGTTTTGGGAGAGGTAGAGGTTGGGTGGGGAAAAACATTTGCAGTCCGGTTTTTTTTTTCGGGCACCGTGCCTCCTATTGACTAGCATGCCAGTGCCCCCGTCGCCACATCAGCAAATAACGCCGCCCAAAGTCAATTTGCTAAAACAATATAACGAGCAGGGAAGGGGTTTTTTTTTTTTACTTCTCGGGAGCTGCTCGAAACAGCAGCCAAGGCTGGGCCGTCTCCATCACAACCGAGCACCGCCCCACAGTGCTGGGCCGGGCGAGAGCTGGTGGTGAGTGCCTGGTGCTCAGCACGCCCAGTATTCCACTCGCCCTGCCTAACCGCCTCGGCGACCGACGGAACAATCTAGTAGTCATTGCCGCATCCTGCAGTCCGCCTGCACCCCGGCCAGGCGGGGGGACGCACTGGGGGTCCGCAGGCCTGGCGGATAGCTGGCCGCCCGGAGAAACAAATGGAACCCTACGGGGCAGCAAGACGGCGGCAGAGGGACACACAGAGTCTTGGTTTGGGCTTGGTCTTCTTGGACAGCAGACGCATCATCAAATGCAATTGGGCCGCTTACCCCGCAACAGCCAATCTGGCATGCGATAGCGCCGCTCTGCCTCTATCGAGGATCGAGAAGACGCAGTTTGCATACATGAAAGATACGACGCTTGACGACATCAACGCTAGATGAAAAACAACCCAAAAAGACGATCCCGCGGGGTAACAACTACACACTACTGTGGGAGACGACGATCTCATCAATTGATCGACTCGCCCACCTCACTCGTGCTTGTTTCTCGTCCCCACCTTGGGGGCGACTCTGACAATATTGCTAGAGTCGCGCTGCTTCTTATTCCATGTGCCGCACTGTGCCCTCGCGAGCCGACTGGCGCCGCTTTGGCGATGGCGCGCGGCGGGTGTGCATGCCATGCGAGGATGGAATCCACCCGCGTCCGTTTTGGAGGCGGAATGACGTAGTGATGTTCGAGCGACTTGCAAGTTGCAGAAGAACGTCGCGTTTGGATGGCAGAAAGCCACACTACACCAAACATTCTCGTGGTGACCGCCTTCGTTTAGAGCTTGTATCTACGTCGTCCATCTTCCCTTCCACCCTCCGGGGTCCCCGCACGTGTGCGATTGAGAGGTTCGGAACCCGTCTGGCTCCTCTTGCCTTTTCATACTAGTCGAGCACAGGCTCCCCCGATCGCTCGCAGCAGCAAACCCCCC